CCTACACCGCATCCCCATTTCCAGTGTTTTCGAGTTTACATCGCTTTTATTTTCTTAAAGTTGGAACCTCAGCAACATTTTCCAGCTGGACCTTGTCTGATATTAATTTTTTGTCACAAAAATTATTTGTATGATTATATTAATAACGGACTTTCGAAATTCGAATAATTCTCAGAATCGCTGGATAAATTAACCCCCTGTACATGTTGTTCCACATTGGAAAAAATGGCTTCGTGACCTAAAATAGTATTTATTCTATCATTCATTAAAGTATTTGCCGGCACGCTACATATTGTTGGCTCCAATAATAAATTATCGTTATATGCTAGAACTGAATAGTTTAGTGGAGAGAATCAATCAAACCCGGTTACGGGTTGGGGCAGTAAAGTTTCCAGGCGATATCGTCATTTAGCCAGTTTGCCAATATTGTATTCAGTTGCATACATACGGTCGCAAGTCAAATAAATCAAGAACTTTTCGCCAGAATACAGCAAGTAACAAGCTCAACAGGTACGTTTCTTTTTTTTTCAACTATTAGAGCAATAATTCCCCATTGAACAATGATTGGGGATGAAAGTAGTTGATAATTAATGAGTCCTAAATCAAGCCAGTTATTGAATAATGGCGCTTTATGTTCTCCTTGACATATTCGATGGCAAAAACAAGTTTTTCCGCAGCCGCCCGCTGTTGTTGCAACCCAAGCATTGTTGGCGTTCTTGAAGAAAGCAAAGTCTTCATTCAACCTTTCATGTCGGCCGAATCAAATTACTACCAGACGTTTTTATCATTATGCCATAATTGCCTCACGGTTTAAACCTCAGATAAAATATGAATGTCCTGCGACTTTAATCATTATAATATAAATATGTTCATGCATATAATATAATGTATATAACATACAGGGTGTTCCGTAAATATGTTAAAATAAATGAAATAATAAAAAAAATGCTTCAAAGCCCGGAAAACATTCCTAAATATGTTAAAATATTTTAGCAGCGTGTTCTTCTAGTCATTTTAGAGGGAGGTTTTCCTGAGAATTTTTTCAATTTGAGGTTTCATTGTTGAGATATTTGACTTCCAAAATGGCGGAAAATATTAGTTTTGGTTGTGTTTCTTTAAAACGGTTAAACAAATAAACTTCAATTTGGGTATACATTATAATCTAATTGAGTGCCATTCTATCGTACTGTTTTGTGGTTCAGTTTACTTTTATACAGGGTAGACATGTGGAACCCCTACTTTTATTTTGATTAGAACTTTTTTGTGTGCATATAGACTTAGATCCGCATATATTTTTTAAATACCACAAATTATTTTCCTACTCTTTTATCTCTTATTGTTTTTTCATAAGACCACTACTTGGCCGCAAAAAATAAAATCGTTTTCTTTGCGTTCTCAAAATGTGTAAGTAATTAAGTTTGTTTTTAAAATCTAATAACGTTTTTATATGACAATTTTGCTACGCATTATTAGTGAATTACTAACAACCTAAATTATTTTTCGAAAATGTGTATTTCGGTTCAAATTACAATTATTAAGTTTTAATAAATTTAACTAAACTTACTTAACTTGAAAACTGTCAGCAGCCGCTGTAACATTTTTGACAATGAAAACTAAACGATATTTAACTGTCATAGACACAGCCTCCTTTGTTTATTGCACTTTTTGTATTCAAACGTTATTAAATAAAAATCCCTTAGTTACGTACTTACACATTTTGAGAGCGGCAAATAAAACGATTTTCTTTTTTTTGCGGGCAAACTAGTGGTCTTAGGAAAAAACAATAAGATATAAAAAAGTAGGTAAATAATTTGTAGTAACTAAAAAAATCATGCTGATAAAAGTTTAAGTGCATACAAAAAAGTTCTGATCAAAACAAAAGTCGGGGTTCCACATTTCTACCCTGTATAAAAGTAAACAGAACCACAAAACACTACCATAGAATGGCACTCAATCAGATTACCATGTATACCAAAATTGAAGTTTACACGTTTAACCGTTTTAAAGAAACACAACAAAAACTAATGTTTTCCGCCATTTTGAAAATCAAATATCTCAACAATGAAACCTCAAATTTAAAAAAATCTCAGGAAAACCCCCTTCTAAAATGACTTGAAGAACACGCTGTTAAAATATTTTAACATATTTACGGAACACCCTGTATATATAATATAATGCATATAATATTTATGCAGAAATATATTTAAACATGCAACATGGGGCTATAATCGTTCCAAGGGTTATTTTGGGCTTTTAAATGGGACTTGAAAAACACGAAAGAGAGGTACGAAGACCACATTGTATATGCAATTATTACTGGATGTTTAAAACGAGATAGTCAAAACACTTTTGGCGTGAAAGTGCGAGGGAGAACTGCGTACTTGGATTTCTCTATCTAGACATAACGGCATCGTAACGCATTTCGATGCTCGCTCGATCGATTTAGAAATCACTTCAAAAAAATTCATATAGGGTGTTCCATAAAAAGTTTCCATTCGCAAATTCAAAAGTCCAGACGCCCCCTGGTGGCTAAAATTACAAATACAAGTTAAGTAGTAATTTGACACTTGTTTTATTGACTGGTTTTATTGGTGTTTAATTATATTCTTTTCCTTCTTGGGTTTCAGCCAAAGTGTGAAATAAATGTTTTTATATCGTTTATTTCATAACGTTTCGGCGAGACAACAGCGCCATCATCAGATTTAAAATTCCTACAAACTCATAATTGGTAAACATTAGGTTCTTTTTTTTTCAACATTTCAACATTTTTCAACATTTTTATTTCACATTTTGACTGAAACCCAGGAAAGAAAAAAAGAAAAAAATGGTGTTTAAGTACATCTGATTGTGATTTGTTTTATTCTAATCAGCTTTTGCAAGCTTTTAAAGAAACAGATCGAAAAGTGTGCAAGTGTCAACTGTCACTCGACACCGTATTCGCGAGTTCAAAAGTCCAAACGCTGCCTGGTGGCTAAAATTATAACTAAAATTAATTAGTAATTTGACACCTGTTTGGTTGACATTGGGGTTTACCTATCCAATGAACATTTGAACATCGTTTTGATCCAATAGCAAGCTTTTAATTTTTGTTTTTTCTTTTCATTTATTTGATTCAATCATTTACATTTATTTTTCAACTCTGTAACAAGAGGGCTGTACAGTTTATCAGTAAAGATGTATAACGAAAAAATCAGTTTTCTTGCTTAATATCACGATTATAAACACACACAACGAGAGCAATAATTTCTCAATACGAAAATTTATCTGGATTTTGCGATATTTTGACCGAGTATCATACCATAGTGAACATGGTAAACAGAACGCTCATTCGCATTTGTTCATTTGCTCTCGACTTCAACCCGCGTTGCCAGATTGAAACGTCCAAACAGCATAACCCTAAACTTTTCCAAACACACAGATAGCAGAGGAAATGGAGCTAACCTCTATGGTCTCCAACATGCCAGCTAATGCCAGCATTTGCGAGTCTCTCAAAAACATAGATGAGCTTAGACCGAACAGTCGTAGTGTTTATACGTGCTAAGTTCCTGTTTGATCGCTTGTGTGTTAGTGTTCCGAAAAGCTTTTGCTGACCAACATGGACAGCGCGTACCTGAAGGAAGAGCAAATGTTTGCCGACGTAGAAGATGAAAGACACCTATGGAAAAATGTTGAAAAGATGCATATCCAAGAGACAGACTGGTTCGACAGTGATGATGATTTTCTAGACTACGAGGACGAATACAGCAAGCCCGGCTCGCACAACAACCAGCAGCAAAAATCCAGCAAAATGAGCAACTACCAGCCCACGGAGAATCTGTTGAAAAAGCATGCGAGCAAAATCAACGTGGACAAATACGAGGGGCCCGAACTGCCCAGTCACACAGTGAGCCACCTAATAACGGGTCAGAAAAAGGTGGAGGACTCACGGAGTAGACTCAAGGACAAAAGCGATAGGGCTACAGTGGAACAAGTCATGGACTTCCGGACGCGCACCATTCTCTACAAACTAATCAACAACGATTTTATCACAGAAGTAAACGGATGCATCTCAACCGGCAAGGAGGCCAATGTGTATCACGCGTCGTCAGATAAAGGCCGGGACTTTGCAATCAAAATCTACAAGACGGCAATATTGGTGTTTAAAGATCGGGACAAGTACGTAACTGGGGAGTTTCGGTTCAGACGCGGCTACTCCCAGCACAACAACTTCAAAAAGGTCCGCACGTGGGCTGAGAAGGAAATGCGCAACCTGTCTCGAATGCACTCAAACGGGCTCAATGTGCCTGAACCGGTCTTGCTGCGCTCGCACGTGCTCTTCATGTCGTTTATCGGCGAAAACGGCTGGCCGGCACCCAAGTTGAAAGACGCTGATCTCTCAGACTCGAAAATCAGAGAAATCTATCGAGAAGTCGTCATTATCATGTGGAAAATGTACAACAAATGCAAGCTGGTTCATGCAGATCTCTCGGAGTACAACATGCTCTACTACAATGGGATGGTATACATCATCGATGTGTCCCAAAGCGTCGAGCACGATCATCCTCTGGCATTAAACTTTCTGCGGTTGGATTGCACCAACATTACGACCTATTTTCGAAAGAAAGGCGTCGCCACACTGATTGTCAGGGAGCTGTTTGACTTCATCACCGATCCCTCCATCAACGAGACGAACATGCAGGAGTGCCTCAACAAGCTCTCTGAACAAGCAAGCACTCGTCCAGAACTCTCCTCAGCTGAACAGGTACTTGGCCAACGTTTACTTTTAACAGCATTTCATTATCTATGTTGGGTAAATAAGAAGCCGGTTAAAT